AGTTCGAAAGCATGTAAAAATGCAAGTAGAAAAATAGGAACCATCTTTGGTGGGAAGGTAAGAGTGTTCTGTGCGTCTTCGGCATTTACTCATGCTGGCCACATGACCATGGAGACATATTTGGACAGCGCTGGCTCTTTGGCTTTGAAATGGAGATTAGCACCACCCCTTAGAGTCGGGAACGATTAGCACATATGTGTGAGGGAAACCTTTACCGTAACCCTTTAACACAAGATAGTCTCAGGCTGACTGGATGGAGCTGAGCCTTTACTGACTGGATGCCCTTCCTGACACCACACGGAGTTCACAGCAGATATTTTTTCTTTCCACCCAGAGAGAGAAAAATCTGCAGCTACTTAGGATTGAACGCTCAACCTTCCGAGTGGGAGACAAGCATCTTCACCACTAGGCCACCACGCTGCTCATATCCAAACCACATTAAGGTTTTTAAAACAATATGTTTGCTTTATAACACGTTCCAATCTTATGATGGATAGCTAACATATACAATAACCAATTATAGAGATCTGAGCAATATCTGGTTGCAAGCATCAACCCTTTCACGTACCGCACTTTTCGGAGTATAAGACACACTTTTTTCCACCTAAAAGAGGGTGGAAATGTCAGTGCGTCTTATACACCGAATACAGCCATTTTTAACCTCCCGAAACCCTGCCCCGCGCACCCTATTTTTGCCAAAAATGGGGCGCGCAGAGGATTTGGGAGGCCTGCAGAGTGCTTCTGGGGGCTGGGGAGGGCAAAAACTTGATGCACGTGTGTGTGTGGGGGGGGGAAACGGGCTTTTCATGAAAACGGGGCATGCAGACAGTTTGGGAGGCCTGCAGAGGGCTCCCGGGGGGCCGGGGGGGGGGGCAAAACCTAATTTCGTTTCTTGTTTTCCTCTTCGAAGTCTTGGTGCGTCTTATACTCTGATGCGTCTTATACTCTGATGCGTCTTATACTCTGGTGCGTCTTATAGTCCGAAAAATACGGTAATTGCGTTTGAACCCCCCCCCCCCCAAAAGCCCTAATTTACCTGGGTTGGAAACCACCAGAATCATGCAATTTGGGCTGTATTTCACAACTTGTGGGATAATGAATTTGAAGACGTTTACATTCCTCTGAACTAAGTCCAGACGGCTTTCTCCTTCCTGCTGGCGGACACCGGCGGTTACAACCACCACCTTTGAATTAGCGGTCACAGAATAATCTGAAGAGAAAAGAAGCAGAAGTGAAGTTACTGCATGGATTGAGTTTGGTTTCCTCCCCCCCCCCCCAAAAAAAAAAAAAACTTTTGCAAAGAGCTGAGAAATCCAGAGGCCCAGAATCTTCCTTCTCTTGTCCCAAAGATGCTTTTTCAGGAGGCAACTGGGTTTTGTTTTTACTCTGAAGACGTTTCGCTTCTCATCCAAGAAGCTTTTTCAGCTCCGACAGGATAGTGGGGAATGGAAGTGTCTGGGAACCTTCCTTCTCTTCTCCAGCAATTTACCTGGTTGCTCATTTACCTGAAATTCTGGTCACCAATGACCAGCAAGCCATTTACAAGAGCCGAGGTGGCGCAGTGGTTAGGGTGCAGTACTGCAGGCCACTTCAGCTGACTGTTATCTGCAGTTCAG